GAGTTTTTTTGGTTATTATATTACCAAAATGCTAGGAAACTGAATCCAGCTGTTTTTAAAAAGAACAATATGATCAAGTTGAGTTTATTGGAGGAAAGTAAAGTTGGTTTAACATTTGACAATTTATTTGTAATTCACTGCAGTAACAGAATTAAGGAGAAGTATTGTGGTTGTTTTAATAGACACTGAAGAAATGGTAAGTTTAGACACACCCTTGTCATTAAAAAAATAGATAGGCCGGGCGCTGTGGCTCACGCCTGTAATCCTAGCTCTTGGGAGGCCGAGGCGGGCGGATTGCTCAAGGTCAGGAGTTCAAAACCAGCCTGAGCAAGAGCGAGACCCTGTCTCTACTATAAATAGAAAGAAATCAATTGGCCAACTGATATATATATATAAAAAAAAAATTAGCCGGGCATGGTGGCACATGCCTGTAGTCCCAGCTACTTGGGAGGCTGAGGCAGAAGGATCACTCGAGCCCAGGAGTTTGAGGTTGCTGTGAGCTAGGCTGACGCCACGGCACTCACTCTAGCCTGGACAACAAAGCGAGACTCTGTCTCAAAAAAAAAAAAAAAAAAAGATAGATACTCTTAGCAAACTAAGGAATAGAATGGAATTTTCTAAATGTGATAAAGTATATCTATAAAAAGTCTACAGATTACTTCAAACTTTATGGTGAATTGTTGAAATCTGCAACAAGTCTGATACAGTTTTATTTGATTTGAACTTAAGATGTGCTGGCCAATGCTGTAAAGATAGCAAGAAAAAGAAATAAAAATGTTTGGAAAGAAAAAGTAGAACTGTCATCATTTGCAAATGATATGATTGTTTATATAAAGAATCCAAAAGAACCTACAGAAAATTTGAGAATCAATAATGAAGGAACAAGGTTGCTGGTTAGAAGGTTGATATAGAAAAGCCAATTTTATGTTCATATACTAGAAACAGAAAATGAAAAATTAAAAATATGATGTACAATAGCAGAAAAAGCCCTGCAAATTTCTAGGATTAAATCTAACAACAACAGCAACAAACCAAGTAAAGACACGATCAAAAAAAGCTTTACATTCTTGAGACATGAAAGATGACTTAAACAAATGAAGAAATTTTACTGTCCATGGTTTTGAAGACTCTATTATAATATGATTTCAGTGAAAATTCTTGCAAATATTGTTTTAGAAATTGACTTATTTTAAAATATATGGAAATGCAAAGAGCCAGGAATAGCTAAGACACTCTTGAAGAGCAAGGTGGAAGAACTTGTTTTTTACATGTCAAGATTTATTACAGTGTGATATTAAAGAAAGGATAAATAGATAAATGGAATACAATAGAGAGCCCCAAAATAGCCCTTCATATCCTTGGGTTCCACATCTGTGGATTCAACCAACTGTGGATCGAAAATATTTTGAGAAAAACCCGATATGGCTGCATGTGTACTAAATGTGTAGGGACATTTTTTCTTGTCATTAGTCCCTAATAACAATACAGTAACAATGATTTACATAGAGTTTGTATTGTATTAGATATTATAAATAATCTCAAGATGATATAAAGTATATGAGAGGATATGCATAGGTTATATGCAAATACTACACCACTTTATACCAGGGACTATGAGCAATCACAGATTTTAGTATTTTTGGGGGGTCCTGGAACAAATCCTCACAGATAACAAGGGACAACTGTTCATATAAATGTTTATTTATGGCAATGTGGACACTGTAGAGCAATTGGAAAAGGATGGTCTTTTCAATAAGATAAGCTAGAATATTTGGATATTCATGTGAGAGAAAAAAAAGTTATTTTATACACCTATCAGTTCCTGGTACATTTTAGACATACTGTGAAAAGACAACAGTAAAGCTTCTAAAAGATAACACAAGAGGATATCTTGATGTCCCTGAGGTGGGGAAAGGCTTATTTTAAACAAGACACATGAAACACTAACCATGAAGTGAAGATTAGTAACTTGAACTCTAGTAAAGCTGAAAACTTCCAGTCATCATAAGACACCACTGAAGAGGGAGAAGGCAAGCCACAGGATGGGAAAAGATATTGTGCTACTCATGTAACCACAAAGTAGAAATCAATATGAAAAAAATAAACACAGTAGAAAAATAGGAAACTTCAAATGTACTTCATAAAAAGTATGTTGGAATGAACAATAAACATTGTTCATCAAAGATGAACAATGAATTGAAGAAATGCTCGATTTCATTATACTAGTAATCAGAGGAGTGCTAATTAAAATATTTCATAAAAATACACCAGAATGGCTCAGATAATATGCACTGACAATAGAAGTGTTGGAAAGGAAGTGGTTCAAAACAAATTCTTATATAAACGTATACTCTTCTATTAGGGGATACAAATGTGTATAACCATTTTAGAAAATAGTTTACCCACTGAAGATTGTTTTGATCTTCTTTATCCACTACAGTTATTCGTCTCAAGGATCAGTCCTTTGTCTTGTACTGTCTCTTTTGTGTTAGAGCTCTTGCTGAAGTCTTTGGTAAACCTTGATTTGGTATGAAGCACTGAAAATTTGCATTAGGAGCTTGTGTTAATGAACAGAGCTTGTCCACCAGTGGCCTCCATTTCAGATGATCACCTGAAGTGTCAAACTTTGAGATGGGAGTCGTATGCCGGTACATGGAAGTCTTTTCTTTAGGACACTTCAGTTTTTCTTTTTTTTCTTTTCTTTTTTTTTGACACAGAGTCTCACTCTGTTGCCTGGGCTAGAGTGCCATGGAATCAGCCTAGCTCACAGCAACCTCAAACTCCTGGGCTCAAGCAATCCTCCTGCCTCAGCCTCCCAAGTAGCTGTGACTACAGGCATGTGCCACCATGCCCAGCTAATTTTTGCTATATATTTTTAGTTGTCCAGCTAATTTCTTTCTATTTTCAGTAGAGACAGGTCTCGCTCTTGCTCAGGCTGGTCTCGAACTCCTGAGCTCAAATGATCCTCCTGCCTTGACCTCTCAGAGTGATAGGATTACAGGCATGAGCCACTGCGCCCGGCCCATTTCAGTTTTTCTAGAGAAATAAACTTTGGTATTACCTGCAAGGCAGTTACCTGGCTTTTGGTGTTCTGTAGGCAGGGATTGCCAATTGTTTTGTGTATTATTTTTACCTTTTCTGTCTTGTTCTCTGCAGAACTCAAGTGTTTGAGTGTTAAGTCTCTGGAGTTTTATAGGGCAGATTTGCCATTGATCACATATCCTTATATATATAACATTCTAAGACAAATTATTGCATAAGAGTAAGTTCCTGAGGTTTCCCAAAGAGAATTTTTAGTGGACTTACTAGGCTATCTACTATGTGGCAGACCTTCTTGTACTGGACCTTGTATATGTATTGTGCTACACACATATATGTGCACACAGCATCATCTCTATTAGCTCTTCCTATGCTATTATCCCCGTTATGTAACTGAGGCTTATTTGATGTGATTTTCAAATTCCTAATTACTATTTTATATTCAAGCTTGGATACCAGCTGGAATCTGTGTGCTTTGAGAGTTTAAGCATTTATACATTGTATACTACCTGAGTTTATTTAGATTGGAGTTGTGGGAAGTTTACAGAGTTGAAGGTTGGAAGTAAATGCTGTGTTAAAATGGATGACCGTGGGGGTTTAGGTTGGGTAAAGAGATGAAGTGCTATATACTGAGAAAGTAGGCAAGGATAAGTGGCTTTATTTGAATATAAGGAGGTGATAAGGGCAATTTCAGAATGTGGGATCTTGTAAGTCTTGAGTCAAGTGCTTATAGATCAAAGTCTGTGGGTTTCAACTTGGGGTGAAAGAAGTTACATGAAAATCTCCTTGGGGAAGGAGGCTTTCTTCAGGCGTATTACCACCTCTCCTTTAAGATACACAAAACTGCTGATGAGCAGCTTTGATCAGCAGCTTTGTGAGGCACGGTAAGAGCCATTGGAATACAGAAGATGGAAGAAGTACCCAGCTTCTTGAGCCCTGACAGGGTGAATTTTCTGCCTTGTTACTTTTATGTAATTATATGCTAACAGTAGAATGCATGCAAGGAAAAGGTAGGAAGCTATAGGCATAAGAATTAGTAGCTATTTGATTAAATAAATAAGTGAAAAGCACCCATGGGTTTTTGTGGAACTGATGGAAAACACCCATTTTTTTTTCTTTTATGCACATGACATACAAATGATGAAAATTTACTTTTCAGTATTCAGTTTGTTATTCCCACTGACCTTTTAAAAAATTGTATATATAAATACTATATGTTTCTGTTGAGGGATGATAATTTTTATTTATACAATTGTTTATATCAGTGTCCTATTCATGAAAAGAGTTTAGGCTTCTGGCAAAAACAGTATTGTAAGTTAAAGATAGAAATGGAAAAAGGAAGATGCAGACAAAATTGTGGAAGGAATGTGATAAACAATATATGCTCTTAAGACTTATACATTTAGCATAGGTTGCAATCCATATTTGATCATCAGTGTTCTAGCAGCCAGCCCATAATTGTCAGTTGCACAGTTCTCTCTCTACAGTTGCATTGGAGAAAGTATAACATTTCTTTTTCAGTAAATAGGAATTCTTCCAAAAGATTTTGGTAAAAAGGGCAATCACTAACAATTCCTTTAATACCATCATTACGAAGAGACAGTTGGGAATTTTGTGGAAGGGATTTGCTCTCTTGGATGGTATCTAATATTTTGGCAAACTTTAATAAACTTTGTTTTAGATTATACATTGGCGGGCAATTCAGTATAGTACCTGTTTCAGTTGGATACTATTGTTCCTAATTCATGGTTTATATTAATACGTATGAAAATTTTGTGCTAAACAATGAGCTATTGTAGTAATATCCCAAACTTGGCAAGCATTTCATAAGGGCTGTAGATTTTATTTCAACTTAGTATTAAAAAGATATTTAACTTGAGTAAGTATATATATGCTTTATAATAATTTTAAGAAGTGTAAATTCTAGCAAGTGAATAACATGGTGGCTTTTTTTTTTCCAGTTTAATTTTGTTGGGAGAATCCTTGGACCTAGAGGACTTACAGCCAAACAACTGGAAGCAGAAACAGGATGTAAAATAATGGTCCGAGGCAAAGGTTCAATGAGGGATAAAAAGAAGGTAAGTCCTTGGAAAATGGGGCAAGTCTTTATGTGAATAACTAACTTATACTTTTACATCCTAATATTAAAATATCCAGATCTTCTGTGCATCAAACACTGTATTTTATTCCATGTCAGAAAGTGTTGTCATGATTTTCCCTTGTTACTTATCATTTTTCACCTAGTGAACTAAAGTATCAGTCCATCATGTTAACTTACTTTGGTATTTATTCTTGAGAAGCTTACTGTTTGGAAATTTGTCAGACCATAATGTTAAATATATAAAAACATGTAACTCAAAGCTTGAAAGACCTAAAATATTTCTTTTGATGAGATTTAAGTGAGAATAGTCAAATGAATAACTTTAGATGTATATTAAATCATTGGGAGAGGTAGAAAACAGAAATCTATTAAAACAAAGGCTTTTCAGTAGCCATATGAGGCACATTTTTGGTTTCATCAACATTTTGTGTTGATTTGTATTTTTTAGACATTTTACTTTATATGGCTTTCCCCCTCTTCTGCCATTTCTTGTCTTACCCAACTATCTGCTTTAAATATTGTTGTTAAAAAGATTTTGTTTGCCTAGTTTCCTTTTTTGAAAAAAAGGAAAAAGTCAAGTGGTGTGACTAGTTTGTGTTGTGATACTATGAATTAGGATACTTTAGAATTTCTATCCATATAAAAAAATGACTGTAAAAATTGATTTTGATTGTCAAAGATTAAAATTATTGGCAGGAAGGGTGATGTTTGCTTTTATAATAAATAAATTGAATTGAAGGAGCTATCAAGTAGTAGACCTATGGTTAGCTTATATTAAAACATGTTCACTGAATCACTTTGTGGAGCTTGTGAAATGAACACCAAATCCACAAGGTATCCTGACTTCACTTTGATATGCATGTTTTCCGATCTTTCCACCTAACTTCATTTCAGCTCTCCCATAAACTGACTGGATCTAAATTTTTTTTGCTCCCCACAGATGATTTAGTAGTGATAAGAAATTTTGGGGAAAACAATCTCAATAATATTGACTATCCTTAATTCTTATTATAATCTGTTCTTGTCAGCTGAGTTTTTAAAGATACTTTCATGGGAGTATTTGAGTTCTCCTTGAACAGTTATAGATGTATTAAAACATTTTTTATTAGAATCTTAATAAAATTTATGCATATTCTCAATCAGCTGAGTGGTAATCTTTTCAAATGAGTATTGCCATGAAGTTTTGGTTCCACTGTTTGTACTTATGATTACATTGACATTAAGTAACACTTATATAATTGCCTAAAGGCAATGAAGTCCAGGCAAGTGAAGGACACATAAGTCTTCACCAAAAGAATAGTGTATATCTATCAGTTATTAGTCAGTTAACAAAGCATTTTTTTTTCTTCTCCTGAGTTTCCATGAATTCTGTGGTAATGACCCTCTATGGACTTCGCTCACTCTTCCAAATACAGATAAGGGGGATTAGAGCTTGGAAGTTTATGGTTAGACATCATGATTAAAGAACATTTTCTGCCATCTTTGGCAAAAGAACAGAATGGTTAAGAGAGTGAGCTCTGCAGTCAGATTGGTTAGTTTTGAATCTTGGTTCTGCCACTTAAAACATCTTTGTGACCTAGGACAAATTTGGGAATCTGTCCTATAAAATGGGAGTAGTAATGTCACTTCTCTCTTACAGTGATTGTAAGGATTAAATGAGATATAAATCACTCAGAACAGTGTTAGACACAAACTAAATGACCATTTAATGTTAATGATTCTTAATAAATTTTATCTTAACACTATGTGTTAGATAGTATATTTTATTTTTAGACCTATGTGGTATCATGAGGGGATACTACAATTTTTTTCTGCTATGTAAATGGTAATAATTTCTAATTGTCTTGTGACCTTTGAATATCATATATTCTTCTAGCTTTTCTGTTTCTCCAGTGATTAGTGATTTCAAATTCTGTCTTGACTACTTTGTTCTTAACCACAAGTAGAAACAGTTCATGCATTTTATTTATTTTTAATTTCTGTTGTCTACTAAGTAAAAAAGGTTACAGGTTATACATATTGCAAGAAAATTATTAAAACAAAAAAATTTGGCTACAGATTACATTTTAGTTTTATCAAAATGCTACAGATGAACATGCTTTGGACATAGCCAGTTAATTTGGATGACTGCTGTGTTTGATACTATGATATGTGAATTCTGTAAAGAATTTACGTGTAGATTTATAACACCCGGAGTGTCTTAATTTAAATCTGCATAATAAATTGTTAACAAAATCATGTTGCTTTATGCCATAGTTATACTGTTGCACTCTTAAAAGTATTTGTAATAAAGGTAAACTCAAAATGGAAGTATTATCATTTGTTGCTTTGCTTTTATTTTGGTAAAGAACATGACAAACATGTTCTTTTTAAAGACAAAAAGAAATATTGATGTAAGTAGTAAGGCTGGTTGAGGTGCTTTTTGGGAGTTACAAAGAAAAGCCATTTAGCTCTAAGCTTTTCTGCACAGTTGTTAATATATGTTAAAAACTAAGAAAGCTAGAGAATAGATCGTAATTTACTAATTGCCTAATTTGCTTTTAACAATCTGCTAGTCTGCATCCTTTACTAGACTGGTAAACTGTGAGAGCAGACGGTGTCTATTTTATGGAGTATTTCCTTGGTGTTTGGTGAATATCTAGCACAGCATGTAGGCACTAGAAGGAAACATCTGTGAAAGTAATGACTGCTTAGTTCAGATAATAAATGAAAGCCTTAGATGCACCTTCCCCTGTCCACCCAAAAAAGGTTTGGCAAATAGAGAAAATTATACGCCCTGTGTGCTTTTAATGTTCTTGGGAAAATAGGTAGTAATGTATCATTCCAAGCTGATGGTTTAAGCAAGTGACTTAATAAGCCACTTAAATTTTCATTCTCTTGGATTGATATTATTTCAGCATTGTTGATGGGTTCAATAGCATTTTGTTTCTGAATACCCAGTGGAATGGTACTAGGTAATATCATGGAACCTAAGAGCAGGAACTGCAGTCAGACTTTATGAGAAGCTGCTGTGATCAGGGGCTAAAGCTATTAGGAATTTCTTGTCTGTGTCAGCCAGCTGGCAGTGCTGATCTGTAGCTAGCTGACTGTACCCTCTCTCTGAAATTGAGTATGTGGTAACAGGGCATTATTAGAGTCTTGCAAGTGAAAGTTGGTTTTGTTTTATGGATTGTTATTTTGATTTATAGAGTGATGTGCTTAATGATTTAATGATGTGCTTTGCATCAATCATTGTTCTAAATATTTTACAAACATTTGTTTTAGTTAATCCAAATCTTACTATTCTCATTTTATAGATGAAGAAATCGAGGCCAAGGGAGATTGAATAATTTGCTAAAGGTCACATGCCAAAGAGTAGCAGTCAAAATTTGAACCTAAAGCCTGTGTTTTATTCTTGTGGTACACTACCTTCTAATTCATAAACCATTTCTAAGAGTGATAACAACTTCAGAAATATTAGAACAACTTGAATATTGAGTAATATAAACTTTGACTACAAAGCTTATGTGAATATATTTCTTAAAATTTCTGTAAGCTTTTTATTTTTTCCCTTAGTGATAATATGTCTGAAGTTTTGTTCTGTCTCTCTGTTAAGGCTGGAAAAGAAAACCAAACTGTTTTTCCTACTCTCACACACATTCAATACTAATACCAGATGTGTAGGGGTTTGTTACACACCAAACAAATAATTCTGCAGGACACAGTAACTGGATATCCTCTTAATTCAATTCAGTTCTGACATTGTCTCCTTAGAGGTAGTGTCAGACTCCACAGGTTGACAGCTTAGTCCCACAAGACTGCCCCCACTTGGCAATCACAAGCCCCACCTGTGACCTATGCTTCTGACCAACCAGCTATAAATCTGTTTTCCTATGAGCCCCTCCTTGTGCTCAGTTGATTTGCTAGAGTGGCTCACAGAACTCGGGGAAAGACTTTACTAACATTTACCCATTTACTGTAAAGGGTATTAGAAAGAATATAGATGAACAGCCAGATGGAAAAGATGCATAGGGCAAGGCATGTGGGAATGGGCACAGCTTCCATGCCTTCTCTACTGTGGCATCCCCCAGGTACCTCCACTAGTTCAGCTGTTTGGAATCTCTCCAAACCTAGCCCTTTTGTTTTTTTATGGCCATTCACTGGCCATTGGTGATCATCTCAACCTTCAGCTCCTCTTCTCTCCCTGGAGGTTGGTGCTGAAAGTCTTAACTCTCTAATTATAATTACTTGGTTGGTTCCCCTGGCAAACAGCCACCCCTACCCCCCACTATCCAGGATCCCCAGCCATTATTCATTTGATTAGTATGCAAAAAGACACAAATAGGTTCTAGACCACTATAGTCTAGTGTGTGTGTGTGTGCAATAGCACTGTATCTTAAGGAAAGTGTGCATAGCTTAATTTAAAAATACTTCATTGCTAAAAAAATGCTGATGATTGAGCCTTCAGCCAGTTACAAGCTTTTTGCTGATGAAGGGTCTTACCTCATTGCTGCTGACTGATCAGGGTGGTGATTGGGGTCGCTGTGGCAGTTTACTGTAAGACAGCAATGAAGTTTGCCACATTGATGTTGATGAACTCTTCCTTTCAGGAAAGATTTCTCTGTAGCATGTGGTATTGTTTGGTAACATTTTATCGCCAGTAGAACTTTGAAAATTGGAGTCAGTCCTCTAAAATCTTGCTGTTGCTTTATTGATTATGTTTATTTAATATTCTAATTCCTTCATTGCTATTTCAACAATATTCACAACATTTACCAAGAAACTACTTTCTTTGCTCATCTATTCAAGTTTTATGATGTGATTGCAGCAGTGCAGTCACATCTTCAGGCTGTACCTCTAATTCTAGTTCTCTTTCTATTTCTTCTACATCTGTAGTTACTTCCTTTACAGAAGGTTTGTTCCATGCCATCCATGAGGGTTGGAATGAAATTTCTTCCAAATTCCTGTAAATGTTGATATTTTGACCTCTTCCAATGA